ATCATGGCAGCTCTAAAGAGGATCTCTCTGAATTTGTCAATTTCTCCTAGGCAGAATTTTCTGGATTATTAACTCCTAAGGGAATTTGTTCTATTCTTCCAGGGATGTATTTGGGGCAATTCTTCCATTCTGTTTCTACTTTCAGCAATGGATATTGAGGGCTGCTAGTTTGAAGATGCAGTATGATAATTCATTTCTATCTCTGTGCTCTTCCTTTGTTTCTTGTATCACATCATGTCCAGAAATGCATGGAAGCCGCGACTGAGTATCCCAAGGGGAGGAAAGATTCATTCAGACCTTCTCAAGAGCTGCTCTTCAGGGAGAACTTCCAGGGAGATCCAAGTCAAGACGCTACGGAAGGTATGAAAAGCTTTTTCTGTGTGAGATGAGATTTCAACATTTAGCTGATTTTTTCCCTCCATTTTATTGGATTGTCTCTCTTTAACAAATCTGCTTCCACTATTTTTCTCTTTCTCATAGAGAGTAGAAAGCTGTCCTTGGTCTGTTTAGAATCACCTCCTTGTGCTGGAGCTGAATCGCTACTTGAGGTAAGGAGAAACGTTGGAAAAGGTCCATAATTCTTGAATGGATTTCATTTTGTTCCAGAGTTCAATGTATAATATTGCTGTTTCTAAGCAATATGAATTTGACATCAGGTCATTGAACATTCACACTCAGCTTAGTCTACTCTTCCCTCCAAAGGCAGGGGTGTCAAACTCAATTTCATTGACGAGCGCCTCAGGGCTGTGATTGACCGGGGTTCCAGGCGGGCATGGCCGATTGGGTGGGCGTGGCTAGTTTGACGCCACTCGCCAAACTGCTGCTTCCTCTTCATATTGGGTAGAACAGGCCTAAGCCAGGCTGGTCCACTTTTTCCTCTTCACATTGGGTAGACCAGGACGGTCCCACAGGCAGTATCCAACCACTACACGGGCCTTGAGTTTGATACACGTGTTCTAAGAGGATCCTTTGTGAGATGCCTTCTCCACCCGTCCAGCTTCATCATTAGATTTCATTGACCAGACTGTTGCCAGCATCAGGGCGCCTCCTTCTGTCTCCCAGGGTTAGTCTCACATACCATTACAAAAAAAATATCCTTTTCTGTCTTTTAAAAAACATCTTTGGGACAATCGTGACTTGATGATTGAGAATCTCTATAGACATATTGAGTTCTGTTACAAGCTCTTCCAATTCATTCATGAAGGTTTGGAGTTTGGGTACGTTGGTCCTTCAGTGGATAAAGTAAGCCATTGGAAAACATGTCAGGTGGGTTTTGCCAGTATTTTGCTCCGCCCATCCTAGGAAGAATGGGAGTCACTGACAGGTAATGGATTTAAGACCTAACTATCAATTGACAAAGAATATTTTAGTTTGTTATACTGTAAGGCATTCCAAACACTTCCAGCTCGATCAAACATTATCTGGTTGTGCCGTCAGCCAAAAGCGGTGAGATCTTATTCTTTTTTATATATAAAAAGTTTTTATTTTTATAACAAAAACAAATAAAACCGTTCTGTTCAACGGTGTGTCAGTTGGGTACGTATATCTTTGTGCACATAATAACGTTATCATATTTTACTTATTTATGTCATTGTTCTAGTCAGTATTTTATATCACGTGTATCACATATTATCCTTAACATTGTAATTGTTGTCTTTCAATGATATATTTCACATTCATTTTCTTACTCTATCTAACTCATTCAGTTATCAGTAATGGTATGTTATACTGTACACATATTTCAATTTCTTACCTTATTCAACCATTCATAAAACAAATTCCAAATTTATAATAATCTTTTTCTTCTTAGAGAACAAGAAGGAAAAGATTATTATAATTTTGGAATTGCCACTCAATCTGCTCATTTCTGCACATTCCATTATTTTCTTAATTATTTCCTCATCCATCGTAATTTTCTCATTTTTCCAATTTTGTGCAAATACAATCCTAGCTGCTGTTAATACATTAATAATCAAATACGTTAACTCTTTGTTTTAACCCTCAGGCAAATTTCCCAATAAAAATGTCTCTGGTTTTAAATCTATATGCTGTTTTATCATTTTCTCCAGCCACATGTGTATTTTAGTCCAATACTTTTTAGCTTCTGTGCATGTCCACCACATATGGTTGGTAGTATCTTGGTAGCTTCTGGTATTTCCAGCACTTCGCCGACTTATCTTGAAACATCTTGGCAATTCTCGTTGTGGGTAGATTCCACCTGTAATACTTCTTATACAAATTCTCTTTATAGGCCGTTAAATTGACATAGTCAATTTATAGTTTCTAGACCATAATATCTGCCATTTATCCAAGTCTATCCCATCTCCAAAATTTTCCGCCACGCAACCATTGATTCTTGTTCTTCCTCTAATTTCACTCCTAATAAATAACCGTATAATTTTTTGATCAACTTCTCTTCAGTGCCTGTTAGGATTTTATCCAGTACAGTCAGTTCGTTATAAAACCTAGCCATCTTGATGTCTTTTTCATACTTGTATGTATTTGCAAATACGAATATCAATTTATATTTATGCCTTGTAACTCTAATTCTTGCTTTGTTTTGAGCTCACCTTTTTCATTTAAAATTTCTTCCTATCTAATAATGTGTTCCTTTTTAAAAAGCTGTATATATGTAAAAGCTTCTAATGTTGATAACCAGACTGGTATTTTCATGTGATGATAGCCTCTTATTTTTTCCTATACTGTCAATAAGGCGTCCCTAATGTAGTGTCTCCTAAAATATCCATGTACATTACTTTCTATATACCATAAAAATGCGTGCCACCCCAATTGTAAATCATGCTCTTCTAGTGTTAATAATCTAACATTTTTCAACACAATCCATTCTTTCATCCACATCAATATAGTTGCCAATTGGGTAATCCAAAACCCCCTCTCACCCTTGAATCCTGTAATTTTTTTTTTTAATTCTTGTCTTTTCCCCCTGCCAGATAAATTTCAACATTGTTTTATTTAAATCTTCAAAATATTTTTTTTCAGTCTTATTGGAATCGTCTGGAATAGATATAATATTTTTGGCAATACATTCATTTTAATTGTCGCTATTCTATCTATTAAAGATAGCTGTAAATTTTTCCATTTTTCCACGTCTATCAGAATCTGTTGTTGCAATCTCTCATAATTATCTTCCTTAAGTGTTCTGCATCTAGCTGTTATTTGTATCCCTAAATATTTCACTTTTTTTGTAATTTGAATATTTAATTCATCCATTAATGTTATTCTGAATTCTGCAGAAGATTCCCATTTTTTTCAATGGACCTCTTTCCTAGAATGGAAGAAAATTATCCCATTATTCTTGGGATTGTGTCCTTTTTCAGGATATCGTTTCTTTTGAGGAAGTGGCTGTGTATTTCTCGGAGGAGGAGTGGTCTCAATTGGATGCTGACCAAAAAGAGCTCTACGGAGAAGTCATGGTGGAGAATTCCAGGAATCTCTTTTCTCTGGGTAAGAAAGCCTTTCTATGACCAGGAATATAGAGTAGGGCCTTGAATGTTATTTTTGATTTTTTTTTAATCATTTATTTACAGTGCATTCAGAAACTATTCAGACCCCCTTCACTTCTTCAATTTTGCTATGCTGCTGCATGATTCTACAGTTGTTGAAATCAGTATTTTGTATTTTAGGACCTGAAAACATTTTTTTAAAAAAACAATTTCTTTTATATCGGGGAAGCAGTGCAGATTTCCAATTTTTCTTTGAATAAACTTCCTTCTTTTTATAAAGTCAGCTTGGTCAAATGGTCAAGATACCAGGCTAGAAAACGGGTGGCTGTGAATAGTAGTTCTACCTTAGGCATGAATGCTGGCTGGGTGATTTTGGGCCAAAACTCTTTCAGCTCAACCCATTTCACAGAGTTGTTGTAGGGAAAATAGCAGGAGGAAGGAATAATGGGTTTGTCTGCTGCCTTGATTATTTACATAAAGCAAAGGAAGGATATACAGTGCATTCAGAAGGTATTCAGTCTCCTTTCTTTTTGTCAATTTTGTTATGCCGCAGCCTGATTCTACAGTTGTTGAAATTCATTTTTTTTCTCATTAATCATTAAACAAAATTTTAGAAATGCGTATAAATTCATTACTTTTTAGCCTGGGGTCTTAACCTTTTGACCAAACTGAATTTATGGAAAGAAGGGAATTTATTGAAAGAAAAATTGAGAAACTGCATAGCTTGGCTTTTTGCATAAGGGAAAATGTTTTTTTTTTAAAATAACTTTCTGTTCATGACATGCAAACTACTCATTTCATTGAAGATACTAGGAAGAATCTAAGGAAGAGGCTGAATATACTGAGCAAAATTCTGGCTACCGAGATTCGCTATTCTTTCCTGAACCTGGTCAGTGGGTTCCTGATAGCCGTAAGCTGCTATAACCAAGACCGGATGACTTCTGAGGGGTTTATTCCCTTCATAGACATATACCCACTTGTGTACCGAATTTGGCATTAGCCTAAGTTGAGGGTGGGGAGCTATTTTCATTCAGAAATTCCCTTTGGCTTTCAAAGATTCGGCTCTGCAGACAAGTGGAGCTGAGACTTTGATTGAAGTTAGGAAGTGCTTAGTATGTTGCTGCCCCAGCATGATACATTGTCCAGTACATTTTGGGAGTTTGTGGCACCATGGAATTGTCCCAGGTCAAAGATTAGGTAAGGGCTGTGATCTAATCCTATTATAGGAGCATATTAGAGATATGCTTGGAAATGGGTCTTTGCTATAATCTTACGTTGGACTCTTCATGTTTTTCCACAAAACAGATGACATATATTGATGATTCTTTGGCTAAGTTTCGGAAGAAAAGTTTTTATTTTTCCGCTATTCTTGCTAGTGTTCTCATTTTTTCTTTTTCAAGGCTTTAATGGGCAAGAGAATAAGAATTGCAAGGAGGAACACCAAGCAATCCATTTGAAAAAGGGGAAAAGGAAATTTGTAGATCAGAAGCAACCAAAGAGTGATGAAGCAAAGCAGTCACAAAGTGGAATTAAGAGAAGTCTTCCTTGGGTCAGTTGGCTTCCTAACCATACAGTGATTGATACGAGAGAAAGACCATATAAATTCATGGAGGGTGGAAAGTGGTTCAATAAATCCGATCGTCGCATTTCTCATAACAAGACACATTCAGAAGATAAACAATTTACTTGCATGGAGTGTGGAAAGACCTTTACTCGTAGCTGTAATCTTAATATCCATAGGAGGATCCACACAGGAGAGAAACCATATCAATGCATGGAGTGTGGAAAGACCTTTACTCGTGGCAGTCATCTTAATACCCACAGGAGGATCCACACAGGCGAGAAACCGTATCAGTGCATGGAGTGTGATGAGACCTTCTGTTATTATAAGACTTTTATAATCCATCAAAGGAATCACAGAGGAGAAAGACCTTATAAATGCATGAAATGTGGAAAAAGCTTTACTGGTAGCAGTAGTCTTAAATCCCACAACTTGATTCACACGGGAGAGAAGCCATATCAATGCATGGAGTGTGGAAAGAGTTTTAGGAAGAGTGGTAATCTTAATACCCACAGGAGGATCCACACAGGAGAGAAACCGTATCAGTGCATGGAGTGTGGAAAGACCTTTACTCATGGCAGTCATCTTAATACCCACAGGAGGATCCACACAGGAGAAAAACCATATCATTGCATGGAGTGTGATGAGACCTTCTGTTACTATAAGACACTTTTAACACATCTGAGGAATCACATAAGAGAAAGGACTTTAAAATGCATGTAGTGTGGAAAGACATTTACTCGTGGCCGTCATCTTAATTCCCACAAGAGGATCCACACAGGAGAGGAGCCATATTGAGGCATGGAGCGTGGGAAGGGTTTTAGGAAGAGTAGTCAACTTACCTCCCAAAATAAGACTTACACAGGAGAGAAACCATATCAATGTATTGAGTGTAGAAAGATCTTTACTCGTAAAGGTCTTAATTCCCACAATAGAAGCCAAACAGAAGAGAAATCATATAAATGTGTTGTGATTGGCAGGATCGGCCCTGTTAAGAAACTTTGAATCTGATGACTGTTAGATCGTGGATTGACGTCAGAACCAGGAAACGTTAATCTGAAGGGCAAGCCAGTTAATTAGCACGTTGCCTTAATGGGTATAAAAGGACACAGCTGAGCTGGTGCCTTTTGCCAGAAACAAAATATCTATTTTGAATGAGGACGTTACTACAAAGAGATCTCTGTTTGTTTGAATTTTGAAGGGAAGTCCTAACAGTTTTTGCCAGCCGTTATCTTGTTATTTTCTACAGTTTGATTTGATTGTGGAACGGCTGCTTTGTGTTTGTTCGTTTGAATTTCCAAGAGGGGACATAACATAAATGTCTGGAATGTGGAGGGGATCTTAAAAAGACTTGTGATCTCACTTCCCATAAAAGAATCCATACAGTGGAAAAACCAAATGAAACCATACACATGTAGTGAGGAAAGAGCTTTGCAGGGAGTAATGCTCTTACCATAGAAGGAACCCCAGGTGGGAGAAACCATGTCAAGAAGTATGGGTAGAGTTCCATGAGAAATCTAGGTAGTCCTCAAGTTTATGACTGCAATTGAGCCCAACATTTCTCTTGCTAAGTGAGAGAATTATTAAGTTGTGTGTTTTGTCCCCATATTACAAGTTTTCTTGCCACATTTCTTAACCGAGTCACTGTAATTGTTAGTAACACGTCCTGAGGTAAATCTGGCTTCCCCATTGGCCTGGCTTCTCAGAAGGTGATCACATGACCCAAGGACACTGCAGCTGACATGAATCCGTTGCCAAGCATCTGAAGTTTGATCAGGTGACCATCAGATGTTCCTAAGTGTGAAAAATGGTCATAACTCACATTTTTCAGTGCTTCTATAACTTTGAATAATCACTGTATGAACTGTAAAAAAATGAGGACTACCTATCGTTGTCTAAAATATCATACAAGTTCCATTTCAGTAAAAATCCAAATAAATTGTAGACCTTAGATATGTATGCATAAATTCCCTTTCTCGTGCAAACCCGAACAGTTTGGATCCCCAATCCTGCTTGTGGTTTTTGATAAATCTAAATACAGAAAGGCTTTTTCTACCTGTAGAAATATTCTTAATTCTTTAATTACAATATTCTTATTGTTTTGCATTATAGTTTCAAATATTCCAAAATACCAAATATAATTATCACGTTCCCATCTAACTCTGTGGATGCTTTCCTTACAAAGCCGCGTCTCCTCGTATGGAAAGGGAGTGGTCCTCCCTCTGACTCACATACTTTGCCCTCCCACACCCAGTATGGGCAACCTGGCCAAGACAAGCGAGCACAGCAGCAGCAACCTTGAGGAGATAAGCGTGGCCAAGCACCCCTTTGGGAAAGCTGATCTACGCCGAGCTGGGTGCTTGTCCTCCATTTCCCAGGGCTCCGGGCAGTCCATGCCACCATTGGGGGCCCTTTGTGTGGCCTGGAGAGGGATGGCGAGGCCTCTCTGTTGGAGAAGGCTTTGGTGCTTGTCCTGGTCTTGCCTTCCTCTGCTGGAGACCTCTGGATTCCCCCTGCCCAGCCTTGCCTATCCCCCTCACAGAAGATGGATGCTGCTGCATGTAAAACACGGAGGAGAAAGTTTGTAGGAAGTAGTTTCTTCCAGGTCCATCTTTTGCCTTGACAGATCTCTGGAGAGGAGGAAGGGCAGCAGGCGAGTTGCGTGAGGGAAGACTGCCCCAACAAGCCAGCATCTTCACACGACTGGAAACAAGGATTTCCTTTCCAAAAGGGCCAGCCTCCCTCGTGCAGGTCTGAGGAGTGCTGCTCCCCTGCCACCTCCTCTTGCTCTCTGGAGCTCTGTCAAGGCAGAAGTTGGAGGAAACTGTTCCCTGCAAACTTCCGCACCCAGCAATATTCTCTTCCGCCTCTTGCTTTGCTGAGACGGGTACCCGACAGGGAAACAAACACCAACGGTGTCTGAGATTGGGAGAAGTCCGTCTCCTTCGGCATGCTGTTCAAGCGCCCACACACACCAATCCAAACTTGGAGACTTTTATCTACATCTGAGCTTGCAAACTGCCAGTGCCTGGGCTTGAAAAGGAGGCAACAAATTTTCCCCAACATGAGTTAGCCAGTGAAACTTCCTCCATCCTGAGCCAGCTGTCCAAAGTCGGCTGCGCCCAGTGAGCAGTAACCGACTATTCCCACCCAGCCAGTCTGAGTTTTCAGTCTTAACATGCCCTTTGAGGGCAACCACAATGCAGAGGCTTTTGGGGAGCCCCTGGGAGGATAAAAACAGCCTCCCCCCGACTCCTGAGGCCCTCTGGAGGTTGAAAATGGGAAATTCTGGTATTTTCGGAAGGCCCGAGTCTGCAGAGGGTTCTCTTGAGCCTCTGGGAGTCCGAAAAAGGCCTCAAACAGGCAGAAAATCAGCTGGGAGGCACACACATGCGCAGTGCAGGTACATTTGGCTGGGGCTTGAGTGCCACATAAACGGCTCTGCATGCGTGTGGTACGTGTGCCATTGGTTTGCCATTACGGTCCCAGATGATAGGCTCAAGATCCAGGTGGATCATGATGGACTTGAACACTGGGCTCTATCTAACAAAATGTAATTCAATGAAGAGAAGAGTAAAGTCTTACACTTGGGCAAGAAAAACCAAAAATACACATACAGACTGGTTGAAACCAGGTTTGATAGCAAGAGGGACCTTGGAGTCTTTGTGGACAACCAATTAATTATGAGACAACAGTGTGGCGGCAGCCAAAAAAGCTGGTGCATTCCTAAATTGCATTAACAGAGGGATACAATCAAGATCAAGTGAGGTACTAATACCACTCTAGAAAGTTTTAGTGAGACTACACCTAGAGCACTGCATCCAGTTTTGGTCATCACGCTATAAAAAAGATGTTGAGACTGGAAAGAGTGCACAGAAAAGGACTAGGGGAGACACAATAGCAGGCTTTCAGTATTTGAGGCGCTGACACAGAGAGGAAGGGAGTCAAGCTATTTTCCAAAGCACCTGAAGGACAGACAAGGAATAATGGAAACTGAACAAGGAGAGATTCAACCTAGCAATGAGAAATTTTCTGACAGTGAAACCAATCAACTGATGGAATAGAAGTTGCCTACAGAAGTTGTGGGAGTTTCATCACTTGAGACTTTCAGAAAGAGACTGGACTGCCATCTGTCCATAACGGTGTAGGGTCTCCTGTTTGGGTGGGGAGGGTTGGACTAGATGACCTACAAGCTCCCTTCCAACTGTTAATCTCTTTAAAAATTTTCATGAAGTTCTGAGCCCTTGCAGGGTGCTGAGGCGTTGCCCACAGGATCCTCTAGGGGGCTCCCTTGAAGAGCAGGGCAGCTCCCTCCCACTTCCGTCCCCCCTTTTTACAAGTGAACTGAGCATGCGCCGTCCACTTTCCGAAGTCAGGAGAGATGTGTTCCTCCAGCTTCTCCGCTTTTTCTACAGTGCCCGGTTCTACCCACTTCTAGCAAGGG